CACCCACCCACACCTACTCAGCCCCTCCCATATCTCCCCCACCCCCTGCAATATACAAGAGGAAGACTTTGTTTTGAGCTATTATGGAATCACCTCTATATCTACAGCGCAAACACACAAATCAGGAGAAAAATATTTTTTTTAAATAAAATTAAAATAAGTTATTGTGGATGGTTTGATTTTTAATATATAATTTGTGGTTTTTTTCTGGTTCCAAGATGGCAAACTCTCTGCCTAAAAGGAGTACTTCCGGGAGCAAGGGGAGGGACTTCTGGTGGCAAAGGTAAGGGGTTAGGGGACAGGACTTCTGAGCCCAAGATGGTGACCATGGGGCAGGGTGCTTGTCATGGGGCTGGGCCACCCTTGTAGCCCTCAACAGCTCATCAAAACTTAAGTGGTCCTCCAGACAAAATAATTGCCTGCCCCTGCTCTAGATGCATGAGGTCCCATTGGCTACAGAGTTGGATTCCGTTTCTGAGCACAGCGTGGCCTCAGGCAATCAGTGAATAGCTTCAAACCTCAATTTACCCATCTATACAATGGGGGTGATAATACTTCATTACTGATCTCCCTGACAGGGCCTGTAAGAGAAAATTAATTAAGTAATATTTGTAAATTGGTTTTTAAAATGATCATTATCAGTTTATGTCCACTCATAAGGACTACAGAGCTAGTCACGGACTGCAGAGTATGTTGCTGGCTAGTTTTCAGCATTATAAGTTTTTTTTTAAAGGAAGTATAAAATATCCCATCTGGTTCCAGTTCTTCAAATTGGTCCTGATCTGAGGAAGGGGAAGATTTAATTTCTGATATTGGGATTCAGGGTCTCTGTCACAAAGCTATGGGAGAAGAGGGATACACCTCAGCCTTCAGCATGGCCATTTGAAGAATGATACATATTGTTTGTGAGCAGTAGAAGCAAAGAAGCACTGATTTATTTTACAAAAGTCCTTCATGTTGACACTGTCCAGAGAGTGACCTCGATGGATCTCCCAGAGATCCAACATATTACAGTATGTTACAACCAACGTTACAACATGACCAAAAAACCTGAGTCTAGACAAAGCCTCCTGGCCTCAGCTACTCTGTTATTAATAATGACCCTTTGGAGCTGGGATCTTGTGGTGGTGACAGCATGGTCCAGAGCTGGGGCAGAACCACAGTCCATTGCCTGCACACCCCTGCCCAGGGTGTATAGGCAGCAGATCGCAGTTCTGCCCTGGCTCTGGACCACATTATCATTGCTACAAGATCCTGGCCTGAAGCAGCTCCCCACCTGGATGTGTGCTCTGCCACTGCTGGGTCTGGTCTCCATGGCAACCCTGGCCCTGCACTATCAGGGCCACGCGGCTGCTGGGGTCTCCATGGAAACCAGGCACAGTGACATGGCCAGGGGCTGCTGGGAAACAGAGTCCGCTACAGGCCCAACCCAGCCCCATGGGCTGGACTTTGCCTGCCCCTGCACTAGGCTATTGGGTCAAAAGGTGAGACAACACTTCTCCTTTTCTGGGGTCTCACACATGTTAGTCACAGGTTCTATACAGCTAAAGTCTGGGGACTTATGCAACCTTATGCACGGATCTAGGCCGTCCTATTTTGCTGCGCCTCTGCCCAGAACACAGCCCTGCTGAGCACAATCAGTGGACACATGCAGAGCTGAATCTCATGCTGTGTGTATGTGTTAAGAACTGCAGTTGCAGTTATGCAGCTGTGTGTATGCCATTCAGGCATGTGAAGTGAACTAGGATTTAGGCCTTAGTCTCTCTGTGCCTCTGTTCTCCATCTGCAAAATGGGGATAATAACTCAGCCTTATCTCACAGCAGTGTTGTGAGCTCAGTACATTAAAGACTGTGAGGTGCTCAGATATTTCAGTAAGAAGCCATTTAACAACCTAAGATAGGGAGGACAGAGAGATGCAATCATTTGCCAAAGCCACAAAGCAAGTCATTGCTTAAACTGGAATGAGACCCAAGAGCTCTAACTTAATTTCTACAGATGATAGATCCCTCCAGCCAGATTTTGTGCTTGTAGATGGTTTGTGGAGATACCAACCTTCTGGAGCTCCAGGATCCTAGTCTGCAAAGCTGATCCCTTCCTCCTCTCTTTCTCCAGCGCCTTCTGGAGGTCAGCTTGCACTCTGTGGCTCTGCTCCTCCACTGTTTCACATTGCATCTGGAGTGCTTCCTTTTCCTTGGCTTCCCATTTACTTTGCCCTTGAAGCAGGGCATTCTGAACCTGGGATCATACAGAACCACATGAGTGTAAACACAACCCTACCCCTGGGAAGAAGAACAGGTAATGAGAAATGAACACATCCATAATACACTAAACTGGTGAGCTGAAAAGCTTTGGTACCCACAGGAAGTTCCCAAAAATACTGGTGAGCAGCATAGATGTATAAAATACTGGAGCTGGATAGGGCAGTCTTCCAGTGATCTAGCCTATGGTTATATCATGGGAAAAATACTGGAGTCTGACCCCAAGAAAGAAGAGCATCCCCTGGATGAATATGCCTCCTTCATCCATCAGCCTTTCTCCCAAGCCTCTCCACAAGAGGCCTGCCAGCAAAGATATGATTCCAAGGTGGGACAGCGGTGACTTCTACAGTATACCCCCCACCTCCTCCCCTTGATGACAGCAGGTCCCTGCAGACCTGGAGCCACCTCATACTGGCTTTCAAGCTTTATTGTCTGAGAGTGGGATAGAAATTACTGCCCTTGTGGGGAAGGCTTTCTACCACACATCCAGTCTCCTGAGCCATCCATTCCCCCTGAAGGTTAGAGGACTGACTGTACCGTCTCCTTGGCCTCTGCCCTCAACTCTCTGAGTAGTTGCTGGGTATGTTCCTTCTGCATCCTCATGGCTTCTTGCTGTTGGTGAAGCTTTGCATCTTGGGCCTAGGTAGAACAGTAAAGAGCTGAACAAGCTGCATCACTAGTCCTTGTCTTCAAGTTTCAATCATTCTGGGCTGGATGGGTCTGAGGGCAGTGGGCTGTGTGCACTCCTAGTACTGTGCCCCACAGGAGCTCTGGATGGTGTGACACCAGGGTCATAGCATTCTTGTGTCAGTGCAGTTCCCCACTCAGGCTTGTGCCTCAGTGATACCAGCATGCCTCTAGCCTCCATGAAGCCCTGGACCATTGCCAGGTCCACCACTGCTTCATAGCAATCTCCAGAACACCACAAAACAGCTTGCTTTCCCACTTCCATCCCCTATTAGGAAAGGAAACACTGTTAATTGAATATCCACCTGGTTTGGCCACTGCATTTCTGTTTCACATTCTGTTATTACAGACAGCTCACTCTGAATTAAGGCTCTCACCCCACAGCCCAGGCATCCCAGCCTTCCAAGTCCTAGGAGCAGGCAGTGAGAGGAGACTGCTGTCTCAGAGATAGAAATGAGACTGAGCAGCAGGGAAAATGAGTTCTTTCTGCCTCAGACTCTCTGTCTACCCTTGGGCCTGTCCTTTTCTGCTTTCCATGCCTCAGGTTTCCCATCTGTAACCTCATGGTATAGTAAAATGAAACACTTCATCTGCCTCTATCTGTAAAGAAAATAAAGGTCACCAGAAGGAAGATGTCAGACATGTTCTTATACTGGCCCTTACAAAGAACTCCGGTCCACACATGGGCAACACCTCCATCTATTGTCTGGGGAATGGATGCTACATGGTGAGCATAGCAGTCACCTCACCAAGTCAAGGATGTGAAGCAATTGGAGTGCATGCATCAAGGCTTTCCTGCCAATAGATGCAGTGGTACTGGGGACATGGCCCCTTCTCCTGCTCTGTTCTGGGATAAGACACCCCTGTTTGTTCGTAGTTGACTCTCTACCCTGTGTCAAACAGGGGGCCAGAAAAGGTGGCCATAATGGTCCTTTTTGTCCTTGAAACCTGCAAATATATGACATACATCCCACTGAGACCTGCCTTACCTTGTCTTATACCAGGACCCATCCACCCCCCATCCCAATCTGAGGGGCATAGTTCACCTTCATAATCCTGGTGAGGTTCTCCACTTTCTTCTGGAAAGAAGAGGATTGGTCCTGTAAGGCTGCATCCTTCACCTGCTCCAGAGTCTCTGCAAACTGAGCAGATAAGAATGAGAATGGGGAGTGTCACTTCTTAATCCCAGGCGGAGCTCATCTGCCCAGTTAGAACATACCCATCCCCACACAGTGGGCACATCTACACGAGACACTACTGCACAGTGGTTACTGCACATTTATTTAGTACTTGTACAATCAAATACTAAGTAATTGCACACTAACCAGAGTTATTGTGCAGCAGCATTTGCAAACACCTTTTAAGTGCCGTTATTGCACAGTAGCCTAATAACACTGTGCAGTGGCATATTAGCACCGTTGGTGCTATGCGCTACTGCACAGTATTATTTGGCTACTGCAGTTAGCATCTCATGTAGATGCACCCACTGAGATGGAGAATGGGCCTGCCTGAGAAGGGGATGCTACTGGGGGATGTACGCTTGATGCTGGTTTCTCATGCAGCCACCTCCTCCCAGTACTTTGAAGCTGCATTATACAGACAAAGCAAGATCACTGGAGGACATCATGGGGCCCACTCACCATACCACCTCTGTTTCTGGAACAGCACATCCTGCATCTCTGCAGGGGATGAACAAAGTGACCCGTGAGGTCACTGCCCATCCTGTCATTCTATGATTCAATGCAACCCTTGAGATTCCACAGGGCCTGAACATGCCAAGATGCATCTATGCAGAACAAACCTCTTGGAGCTCCTGCTGCTTCTGGTGCTGCAGATCCTCTCTCTGCTGAGCCAATGCCAGCTCCTATAAGCATAGGAAATAGCATCCTTGTCATCTAGCTCAGCCCCAAACCCAAAAAGAACTCCCTAAGGTCCCTTCTGCTGCCTGTGTCATTGTTTTGCAGGCTTCAAGAGCCAGGAACTGCACAGTGGTAGATTTTCCATCAAAGCCTGCCTGCATATGCTGCAGCCAGGAGTAGCTGGACTGAATATAG